GGTTAAGGGTTAGGATTAGGGTTAAGGGTTAGGTTAAGGGTTAGGTTTAGGATTAGGTTAAGGATTAGGTTTAGGGTTTAAGTTTAGGTTTAGGGTTTACAGCGTGCTTCTGTCTCCGTGCTGTTGTCGCCCTGTTGATGACGTCAGCGACGCGGTTTAGTCGGGCGCGGTTTTGTCGTTCGCCCTTTTGTCGGTGAACCAAAATATCAAATATAGGTAATGTGTACAAATAAGAGACTTTATTTTATTTTATTTATTTATTTTTATGAAATCATTTGAAAATTTGTCATGAAAACTTTAAAAAAAATCAAGTTCAATTATTAATTTAAAGGAAATAGATCAAATAAACATTAAATTATATGTTGCATTTGATTACATTGACATGATAAAATATCAAATATAGAGCGTCTATATTTTTAAAACAGCCCAGGCTTGGTACTTGGACTAAGTGCTCTGTGTATTATTTACAAAAAAGAAAAGAAAAGCTTTATATTTCATAATGGTACAGTCGGATAGCCAATGAAATTCTAAATGACATATTTAAAAATGTTTATGTATATCCTTCATTCAAAAAATAAGAGTAACTCAATAAGCTAATGTAGATAAAAGCGAAAAAAGGGGGGGAAAAACCATATCCCTATGCCTAAAAAAAAATTCAAAGAGCAATTTTAAGGTGACAGAAACAACATATTGCAAATGTATTTGTTGAGGATGCAGTATTTTCTTTGAGAAAATATATATTCTGTTGACCCCCTTTCTTTTATTTTTGTTATCATCATGTGGGGCTGCATTACTTGGTGGCCCAGGTCATAAAACCACAAGTTCCACATACCTAGTTTAGATATCGCAATAATAAAGAATAAAGAGATGCAAAGATAACTCAACAATTAAGAGGGACAATAACAGGTGGCTGATTATTCGCCCCCCAATAAAAACTGGAAAAACTATGTCATTGAACAAAACCTAGCAATTTAACAGTCACTGAACTGGTTGCTTGCAAAGCCAGCAAGGGAAGAAGGCATAATGAAGAACGGAAGAGAAAACATTTAACATATTATGCTAATAAAGAAAATAACTACTGTGCGTGTAATCCAGTTTTAAAAGAATACGTTAATTACCTCCCCACGTACAGGAACTGTTGCAGATGCTAGAACTGTTACTAAGATCTGCTGAAAATTAAATGCGCTCTAAAGGGGTTATTTAGGGCAGGGTTTCCCAACCTTGGCAACTTGAAGATGTCCGGACTTCAACTCCCAGAATTCCCCAGCCAGCGAATGCTGGCTGGGGAATTCTGGGAGTTGNCCCCTTTGTGGAGTACTGTGAAGCCATTACCATGGCAACTCCACTGCGCTGTACAGTAGAAGCCATATTAAGGCAGTACAGTGGAAGCCAATTTACGTCACAACAGGCTGTATCTTAACAGAATACACACCCCGAGGGGTTTTAAGGGTGCCTTATCCCCGACAGTATTTGTTTCCAGAGGGTAAGTTATCTGTGTACCAAGTTTGGTTGAAATTGCTCGAGGCGTTCCAGAGTGATGCTGGAACATACATCACACAGCCATTTTTATATAGATAGATAGATAGAAGATTAGAGATTATAGCGATGATGGTAGGGCAACTTTGAACTCTCTTTATATTTTGAAATCATCAGTAATGGAAGCGTAAAAGGAAGGGAAAGTCCCTACATCATTAAAGACTTGACTCATCGCAGATTTTTATTTTTTTTCACCCATTTAAAAAATGTGTCTCATTAAGGTGAGATTTACTCAGGGTTAATTCAGGACAACATTCACAATTCCTTTGCAAATAAATGTGTGGGCTCGCGTGGGACTAGAGAGGAACTGATTCTGCACCAAAATAAATACCAGTAGCCTTCCATTTGTAACCATAATGGATCTTGTAAGTAATGACGGACATAAAGTTAGTCTTTACGGGCCGTACCATTAGATTTGCTTTTTTAAAAGTGTTCTTCTGGAATAGGGGTTCCCCACCCCCACCCCCGCCCCAGAAAATTAAATGTTTGTTATCCAAAAAAAAAAAAAATTGAATCCAAAAAGGTTTTAGGGAATTGTTGAGCAAGTCAAAATGGTTATGATTTAGAGTTTAGATCCGTGATGGCACGGAGGAGGACCCGATGGCACATGGGCCCACTGTCTGTGGCAGTGCCGGAAACTGGAAGAGCTGGGCTTCCATTTTCCAGCATGAGCATTCGCACTGGCCAGCTGATCGGCGTGCACCATAAAAAAAGACTGTAAAATCAGGCTGGTCCCGTAAAGACTGACTTTATGTCTGTCATTACTTACAAGATCCATTATGGTTGCAAATGGAAGGCTACTGCACGCACTGTGGAAGACTTGCTGGCTGGTGCATGTTTGTGCCAGAAACCGGAAGTTTATTTCGGTGCCGAAAACCAGGCGCCATCCCTGGTTTAAATCATGGTTGTCCGAACTTTTGGTTAGTCTGGGGTGAAGAGTAATTGTCTTGCGCCTCATGCAAAGTATGCGTGACCCATCAAAAGGGCGAACGACAAAACCGCGCCCAACTAAACCGCGTCACTGACGTCATCAACACGGCAACAACAGCCAGCATGGAGAAAGAAGGGCGCTTTAAATAGCGCGTTGAAAGAAAGCCGATTCAACTTAAGGTAAGGGTTAGGTTNATTTTGGACAGCAGAAAGTTCCCTGAGGATGGGTTCGAACACAAATCTTAAAGCTCAGAAGAATAAACCTTTGGTCTCAATGACCAACTCAGATTGGCTCCTGCAACATTATTCTGGGACCCATTTACTTGCCTTCTTTCATCCCTCAAAAATGTGCTGGGTATGGAATTAATTGTAGTTCCACAATGAAACCTTAGATTTAAACAGGATGTTTTTCTGACAGCTAACCAAGTAATTATTTAGCCCTCTAACTTCTGACGAGGGAGTGAAATTATTGTACATTGGGGAAGACCATATATCTACTTAAGGAATAGCATGGAGCATTGCTGCAAAGTCCTCCAGAAGGGGAAAAGCAAGAAACCTGTATATTATTTCACCGTCTTCTACCTCTGTGAAGAACTTCGCAATTGCTCTCCTCAGGATATCTTGCCACACTATATATTTGTCCCAACTACAAGGATAGGATTAAGGGCATTGCAATAGAATGGAAATCCTTCAGTGGGGGAGATATATATATAGTTCAGCAGGAGAGATGTAGGAACAGGTTTTCTTCATCTCTTATTTGTTTGACAAGGAAAGATCTGCACTAGAACATTAAGCAAGAGCAAAAGTTTAGGTCACTCTACAGATGTCTCACGCTTGGCCATAACTTTTAGAAACATATTGCTCGCAAGTTTATCCAGGCATTTAAAAGAGCTTACGATTGGAGAGACCACTCAGGTAGATCACAGAGCTATTCGGGCTAGCATTAGGAATAAATGCTGTTGAAGAAACTACAAAAGCAATTGAAGTCCGCTAAAGTAGTAGCTGTTGTGGCCCGCCAGTGGAGCCAGAGTTGGACAGTGAGGAGGTTGGGGAGGAACATGGGCCAGTCCTGGAGGCTGGGGAAGGCTCAGACGAGGGCTCTGCGTCGGAGGCAGAGATGGGGCCCAGGCTGTCTGGTGTTTTTCAGCTGCCTTTGGAGCTAGACATCAGTGAGACAGAGGAACAGGTGGAGCCTGTTCCCAGTGTGTGCATGCATAGAAGTGCCAGAAGTAAAGAACAGTTAAGAAATCAGGGTCAACTTGGGAGTAAAGCCACAGGTGGACGGTGAACGGCCCCTTCCATAGGAAATAAAAGAGGAGCAAAAGGGGAGTAGGCTTTTTCAGGAAACAATTCGTTTGTTCATTCGTTCATTCATTTCAGTAGTGTGGTGATCTGGCTGTGAATCTCAGAGACTCTGCCAAGTCTTTCTTTACACAGCACTGTGTTTGGAAAATATTTACCTGGCAGCTTTCCAAGCTAGATAAGGTCTGTGGTCATAAATTCACCTT